ATGCATAAGTTCCACAGGTAGTCTGTGAAGAGCTGGACTGGCTTCCATTTTATCCAGGCATTTCAGGCACCCCTAAACAATCACATGGGCATAAAAGTAAATGGGAAGGACCTCCCAATTATGAAGCAATCCCCCAAGCTTTAGAAGTATGTTTCCAATGGATGCAGAGTTTTATCAAATACAGTAAATGGCTGGAGGACCCTTCTAATGTTAAGGCAGCGAGATTCTTGTCTAGAGGGTATGCAAACATGTGGTGCATAATGATTTGAACCATAAGTGGCTTCATTTTTTTTTTTTTTTTTTTTTAAATTTGTAAATGACAGTTTTTTCTATCTTCAATGCTTAGGCACAACAAATTAGTGGAGTGTATGGAAGAACGCGGTATATTAAAGTAAGTTAATGAATGCAGCAATATCATCTCTCTGTCTCTGTCTCTCTCTCACTCTCTCTCTCTCTCTCTCTCTCTCTCTCTCTCTCTCTCTCGTGTTGTTGGTTTTTTAATGGTTTCTAGTATAATAGAAAGATCCCTGCCTGCTCAAGTGATGTGTTTTTTCCTGCCCGTAACACTAATTTTTATCACATAAGAGTTGGAGGTTATACCTTTTAAACTGTGATGCAGGAATGAAAATATGAAAAGCAGTAGCAATAACATTGTTGAGAGGACTAGGTCTGGAACTCGTACACCAGCTGAGAAAGAATTGGATACTTTTGACAAGGTGGGCTTATTCCCTTTATGTTATGATCATTGCAGAGTGCAGTGCACTTATACCTTTTGTTGTTAGTTTTTACTCACTATTTCTCCATCTAAACTTTTGGGTTAATCATGCATAATTGGTTTCAGTGGGCTCTATACTTCCTTTTAATACTTAGAATACTTTAAAGCAATGAAAGGGTCTTTGATCTATATGTATGTACTCATTGTGCTTTTGCAGTTCACCTTTTCTATTGATTTATTGATATTATTAATTAGCTTTTGTGGATCTGGTTTTCAATAAATTTGCATGATGGTAAAATTAATCTACACAATAGTTCTGAGCCCTGTCATTGCAGTGCTCTGCTTTAACTGGTAAGCTACATGAACAGGTTCCTCATTCCATTTGTGGTACTGGTCAAAACTAAAAGAAGGTCTCCAGTCAAGCTTATTCTTTTGATTTGGAACTTGTTGAATGCCTGAGTAAATTGTGGAATTGGCATTTGGTGTCAGGCCTTGGAGAGTGTTGAAGAAGCCGTCATAAGACTAGAAAAGTTGCTTCAGGATTTACATGCATCAAATTCTAACTCAGGAAAAGAGCATATTGAAGCTGCTTGTTCTGACCTTGAGAAGATAAGGAAGCTTAAAAAAGAGGCTGAATTTCTGGAGGCATCTTTCAGAGCAAAAGCAGCTTCTCTTCAGCAGGTTTTTTTTTTTTTTTTTTTCTTTTTCTTTTTTCAGTTTCGTATAGTATCTTGCTCATGATTATAATATTTGGACCATACTACGAACATCTTATGAATGTGTGCCATTCAACCAATATATAACTTAATAGTTGGTGAACTTTGTAGGGCTTTTTCGTTTTTTTCCCTTTCAATTTATTCAGATTTTCTACATACAGATGTCTTGGCTTTTTGATGTTGGCATAAAAGATATAGGCTAATAATTAGCCACAAAGTGTCTTAATAGTTATAAGTGTCTGTATTAGATAGAAAACTTGATGATGTAGACCACCAAAAGTGATGGTGCCTTTGCCTGGTTTTTTAGATTATGTTGTTTGACTTCCTCCCAAATTTACGTACTGTATCTTGTAAGTTGCTATATTCAGACCAACATATTGCACCTGTAATTGTAGATTCTCTTATGAAGCTCCATTCTTAGGTTCACTTGTGTAGTTATTATGTGACATTTTACCCTATTTGGATTTTTTGAATTCTCACTTGTCTTAGTTGTACTTTTGTTCTTGTCATCCAGGAAGGTAATCTCTCCCAGTCTTCTACTAACAAGCAGCAACAGTTCTTTAAGGGGAAAAGCAGAAAGAAGGAGGGCAACAGGTATGAAGCTTAGGTTTTTTTATTATGAAGCATTTATTATTCCATATGACCTAGCTCTTTTTTTCTTTTTGGTTGGATTCTGATAAGCACATCCCATTTCAAAATTTATTTCTAGAGCTGCCAGTAACTCTCGCGGTTTGTGGAGCTCCCTATTGCGCCCTCCAACTGGAAAGCCCAATCCTGGGTTGATTGTGGATCAATCTGTATGGCCCTTCTTCACAAGGATTTCATTGATTTTTACATAAGATTGTGCTATCTAATTTCCGAATGTATTAACTTTTAATTGGACTCTTGTATCTAAAAGAAGATTGTGCATGCTGCTGGCTCAAATTTAGATCTGTTTTGACCAAGAGTTAACAACGCTTATTGTTACTCCATATGTTTTTTTTTTCCCTGTTAGGGCAAGGTCATTTGTCAATAGAACAATCAGGTTGAAGTTGCCCCACTGGCAGTGTTTGCTTACATTAGCATGATATATACTTTGGGTTCCTAGCTGCTTCTTTTAGTGGCCCCCTGTGTTATATTATTTTGTGTTCCTTGTTTTTGTTATCCTTATAAAAATGCGGTTGAGAAGTTAGGGTGTTAATTATTGACTAGTGGTTTCCTAGTCTATCTTGTCCCTTAATAGGAAGATTGAATAGCTGTGTCTTTCACTCACTGTTCTTGGCTAAGCAACATGGCATGCAAAAAAAATCATAAAGGCATGTGCTTCGATTTTCAGTGCATATAACCCTTTGTAACTAAACCTTTGGCTTTCTCATTTATGAGATTGTTCCCTTTTGTTATTTCCTTACTTGATTCAGGAGCATATATCTATTTTGGTGTTAGTAATTGGAAATGTGCAATTTCTCAAACCAAGTTGCTTCATGTTTGTGTCCTTTAACACAGGATAATGAACTTATTGAGCAGACCGTTTCAAGTCTTGAATTTGAAGACCCAGAATCAAATAGGATCCAGCGTTTTGAGCTTTTACGGAATGAGCTGACAGAACTTGAAAAACGGGTGCAAAGGAGTGCTGATCATCCAGAAAATGAGGAGGTATATCTCACAAAAGGATGCAACTTGGTACCATATTCTTCGGGAGAATATAAAAAGAAGGAAATTTGACCAGAAACAATTCCTACTAGTGAGACTGACTTTTGAACTCTTATTGGTTTAAGATATTCTTATGTTGCTATGGATATTTTAATCAGGATCTTAAGCCTGCTGATGATGGTCCTAACTATGAGGATGATGTTGGAGCTGCTCAACTAGTCCAGGTTCAGAAGAAAGAGAATATCATTGAAAAATCAATTGACAAGCTAAAAGAAGCTAGCACGGTATGAATTTTTTCTGGCCTGAGTAGGCAATTGATGACCTTTGTCAACTAGTTAGACATTGTTGACTACACTTTGGCTAAAAATTAGGTGGGAAATGGAACTTTAATGTTGGTTTTGCTCTAATTGTTTGATACTTAAGACTAGAAAATCATTCAGAATAAGGTCTACGCCTCCTTTAACCGCATCCATTTTAGTTGCCACCAAACCAATTAGGATACAGGATATCTTCAAATGGCATGTGGATGTCTCCATTATTATTTGTCCATAATTATGAGCAGGATGTCGACTCTAACTCTTAACATAGGAGTTATTAGTTTCATCTCTTGCTGTGGAGTTTTCCACAGATTGTAATTTCCTTTTCATAATTTTTTTTTGTGTTGTCTCAAATTGATGGGCAGGATGTGTGGCAAGGAACTCAATTGCTAGCTATTGACTGTTGGTGCTGCTACGGGGTTGCTTAGAAGGGTCTTGATTGGAGATGAACTGACAGAAAAAGAAAAGAAAGTTCTACAGAGAACTCTGACCGACTTAGCATCAGTTGTTCCTATTGGTGTTTTAATGCTTCTTCCGGTGAGATTTCTTCCTCGTATTTTTTTGTAAGCCTTATATTGACACGTGCATGATTCTGGCCAAAAAAACTTATAAAGTGATAGGATTCTCGCGATAGTTCTTCATCCGGCTGATGTGTTTTATCATTTGAGGAGGTTTATGGTCATAAAACAAGGCGTGCTTCAGATATTCTGTTTATGTTGCATTGTTGTGCCATTGCAAATGAATAACGTATATAAAAGCTTACCTTTGACATGGTGGAAGGGGTTTCATAATTGGCTTGATGTATCTTCAATCGTAAGGCGAAGAAAAGAAATAAAAATGAATTTGTACCTTGAAATTAAAAAAAATGAATGATTCAGCTGTTTCACCTGACACTTTTTCTAAACCCTATTGGAACTTAAACATAGAGATAACTTTTGTATCGCAGGTCACTGCGGTTGGACATGCAGCAATGTTGGCTGCTATTCAGAGATATGTACCAGCTCTGGTTTGTGGCTTTTAGTTCCAAGAGTTTCATTTCCTTCACTCTTCATGAGAACCGGATTTGTGTTAACGTGCATAATATGTTTCTTTGACAGATACCATCAACATATGGTCCGGAAAGGTTGAATCTCTTGAGGCAGGTTGAGAAATTGAAGGAAATGGAAAGCAGTGAAGACAGTTCCAACGTAAGCGTGGAGGAACTGGTCTGAATAGAAGGCAACGCTGATTATGTACAGTTCATAAATAAATTTTCAAATCTGAGGTATGCTGACATTTTCTTTTACTTGGTTCCGAATCCTTTTGCCAGTAGAGTGGCGTAAATAAGTTCATTCCAGGTGTCAGGCACTCCGGGTAAGCACCAGTGGCTGCAGTCCTGTGGAGCATCAGCCGGAGTCCCTGGCTCACGATACTTTGAGGGGTGACCATCCTTCCTGAACTCTGTTAGATACGTGATGTTTAAGAACTGGACCTTCCAGTTTTCATATTCCAACTGTTTGATTGATTCAGATATGTATAGATTATTCACTGGGTCAGCTTCAAGATTTTTGTAGTCTGTTTCTGGCCCCAAATAGGTATCACACAGCCCCCCTTCATTCCATGTGCCGTTCCTGCAACTTCGCATGTTAAAACTTCATCGATTCATTAATCGTCAATTCCTTCCTTTTACGCCATGTTTGGCGGCAACTATTGAGGAACAGCAAGTTGTAAAGTCACCCAAGTTACACTAATTGCCATTCATTCTTTTGGTTTCCGTAGTGTGGAAGAATGTAAATTGAAATTGTCATAGTCGGATAGCAGTTTATACTTGCCTGTAATGTACCGGAGAGTAGCTTCGGAAGAAAACCTGAGTCCTTTCAGGGTCCAAATTCTTGAGCACCCAAGACTTCCATGTTTGTATAGACCTCCTGAATGCTTCCATAACACCCATTGTCAGATTCACTTTCCCGTCTTCCTCAAAGTAGCAGCCCCTGAAATACAAGATGGCCAGTTGTGATTGGACAACGAAAAGTCGACAACTTTATGGCCTGGCTTGTTATATTGTCAAACTTTTAATTTAAGTCGTTGATTAGGTGAAACTTTTTGTAAATGTGGTGCATATTAATAGTTTGATAATATAATATGTCAGATATTTAGATTGGAAACACGGGAGGCGAGTTTAGGGAACTAGCCAGTGTCGTACATCTTTGCTGTTTTGTCTTTGTTCCACCAGTGCCCTGCACTGAAAATTAGAACATCTGCTCCAACCCATTTTTCGGAGTACCAATGGATTTGGTCGAGCTTAACCGTGGTCCTGACCGGACTTGGTGAATTTTTGGGGGGGTGTCCTACAACAAGAAGGAACGGTGCCCTATAATATTCAACTGTGAGGTTATAGTCCTGGAACCGCATCGACAGAAAACCCCTATGTTTTGTTATGGGGTTCCCATTTACTTCATAGATTCTGGACTTCTTGGACACCCCTTCTGCAAGCATGCATAGCATAGATTCCCACTGGTTCCTTCCGATTGAGTCGCCGGCAAATACTATCCGTCCGTTTCTGCTTCTTTCCAAGAAGTCGCTTGCGTTAAATCTGAGACCACGAGGAGAAAGAAGCGAAACTCTTTAATTTAGAGCACAAGAGAAGAGAGAAGAAATCAAACTTTTGTTACGAGTGCATGAGTAAGTGCTCTACCAGACGAATTAGAAACCTGCACTCCGAATGAATCTACACTCAACATCTAAATCACAAAAATGTCCTAGTATAGCTATTTTTTTATGTTCACTTCTAAGGAGTTTTCTACTCCTAAAGTTTGTGGTTTTCAAGAGTTTAACCTAAATTGTTGCTAATTTATATGTATGAGACCCTAAACGCCACAAAGAGACTTAATGTATGCATGGCAGTGTGAAGTACCATGCAAAACTAGGCTTTCTGAAAACTCCACGACAAACTCACCTCAAAACGTCACAGCCAGCCGGTTGCCAGCGCCATCTCCGATAACCTTGGTCTTTTCGACCACTCTGGCTGCACCGGAAGCCAGGGTCGAGAAACGGGCAGTCCTCGGTGTAGGACTGAAGCGGATGAGTTTCGTCGCGGATCCATCTGCCGTAGGAATAATCACAAGTTCCCGGAGACAACTTGTGATTATTATTCTGTAGGATTTGGGATAAGAAACCCAAATGATCGGATAGAAACTGAGAGTCGAATGGGGTTACGAGTCTGAGAATAAACAAGGAAGAGACGAGGAGAAGGAAGAAAGAGAGTCCGTAACGAAGTTCTCTTCTGATTAGAAATGAAAAGGGGAAATTATGGAGCTTCTGAGGTTGATTAGAGGCTTGCAGATCCATTGGAAGAGATTGGCAGAGAAAAAACTCGTATTTTGAACAAGTCTTGTGGGTTAGAGGGGAGAGAGAAAGGGAGAGAGAGTTGTGGCCTTTTTTGAAGGTTATATTTATGGTATTAATTAATTTTAGGGGATATTTATGGTTAGTTATAAGATTTATTTAATTTTTTTCTAGTTTATAAGATTTACTGAGACCAACTCCAATGGTAGGCTAAAAGCCAAATTACCCCTCAAAATTTTCCTCCCAAACTCACTTCAACCCAAAGGGAAAATTTGGGCTAAATGCTAAATGCTAAACCAAGGCCAAATTCCCTCCAAAATTTAGCCCAGAAATCGGAGTGGACTCCACCCAATATTTATCGGAATTTAAATTTTTTTAGATTAAAATGTTCACAAAATTAATTTACGATAGTCTACATTTTTATTTTTAAAAAAAAAATAGCCTAAGTTCATTCTTTAATAATCCCGGGCTAAAATTTTAGGCTAGAATGGTTAGAGCAGAAAAGCTGTTTATGGGCTAAAAACTAAATTTTTCGGGCTAAAATATTTGACTTTTAGCCCAACCATTGGAGATGATCTGAAGGTTATATTTATGTTATTAATTAATTTTAGGGATATTTATGGTTAGTTTATAAGATTTATTGAGCGACAAATACGGAATCGTGCTGGTCAATTTTTATTTATTATTTTTTTCGCATGAGGGTGTAGGGTCATTTTCTTTGTTCACTTTATTTTATTTTATTATATATTTTTGATGTTGGGTGTCACACTGTCGGTTTAATTTCCATGCTACGTATACGTAATTACCTAACATGCTTTACACGTTCTTTTCTTTCCTGAACGTGCACAGCAATACAGCATGTTTACAGGGAACCGGATCCCCTCCGGATTAGTTGAAATTTGATCAAACGACTACAATTATTATAACCTTTATAAGACTTCCTATTTGTAATCGTTAGATCAAATTTCAACGGTCCGGATTAATTGATTAGGTGGCTCAATTTTGGTGGATCCGGAGATGATCCAGTTCCTATTTAAAGCATTACCATATCCTTCTAAATTTTTTTTTTTTTTTCTTAAGGACGAGCAATTAAATTTAGATACGTGCACTCACAAAGTAGGTTTAACAAAAATATATTTTTTTTTTTATTCAAAACGAAATAAGCATAAACCATCATAAGATCAATACAAGCAATGATGGATCTAGAATTTTAACATCGGTCATAATCAAGGTACGCTAATCGGGCGGTGGGTTAGGACTTAGCGCCTATGCACCTAGATGGGGCGGGATCTAGACGGATTTAAGTAAATTTGTTATATATCATATAAACAAGTGCCTATTTATACTTAAAAAAACTATATTTGTATTGACAATTTGAGTTTATTATTTTAATTAGGTTTATTATTTAACATATAACATACAAAAATAGCATAATTGTCGCTTTAGTATTTTAATAAATGTGATGATATGAGATGAAATCTCAAGTGATTACGAGTTCGTAATACCTTACGAAATATTTTTTAGAGGTTGCATCGCAAGAATTTATAGTGAATTTTAAAAGAAATTATGTTTCAAACATATGATATAAAAACTATTGGTTGAGTAGTACCTCATCCTCTATTAATTAAAATGTTGGGTGATACAACTTGATTGGAAAACAATTAAAAAAAAAATGGGGAGTTGGCCAGGTGGGAAATGGAGAGAGCAAGTCTTTATTCTTCATTGAAACCAAGGTACAAGAACAGCAGAATCATGGTAGTCTTTCTTCTTGGTTCAGATCTCATGTTCCACAACATCTGCACAGTCATGGTGGTCTTCTCCCTTCCACCACCTGTCTAGACCATTGGGATTTTCTCGGAGATCCTCACGTGCACTTCTTTGAACTTCTGGATGGTCCCGGGACCACCATGTTCCATACATGCATTCGCCTCCGAATAAAAGAAATTATCAAAACGGCTCATCCAAAATCCACACAAAAATCAGAAACAAAAGCATCATCTTAAAAAAAGAAGCGACGTCTGAAACCTTCATGGTGAAAACAAAAAAAAGGACAAAGGAGATAATCGGTACGGTATATAGAAACGGGCATACAACGCAAATTTTACTAAAGACATGGGTTTTTTTTGTGTATGCTTGAAAATATTTGCATGGACCAAACTCAATCTATTTTAATCTTGATTGTACAAGAGCTGGCCGTGGATCTTAATTATACTGTATATATAGTGTTTTCCCCTTCGGATCATATATATAATGCATGGATTAGGTCATCATGTATTGTTTGGGACGTTAGGATTTTGAATGCGTCTCAATATTATAGTTCCAAACCAACTAGGTTAGGATGTTAAGTATTATGTCAGGTCGATTTCACTACTAGAAATTTGACCAATAGCCACGCATTTTTTTGTGGTTACTGATGTTAATGGGGATGGCCGATCAGTGATCATTGAGGTTGGCCACAGATTGACCGTTGGTGATGTTAATATTGATGTTGCCCACAGATTTCCCTATTCAGTGGCATAATTTGGTGACGGATCCCACTTATCTCCCCACTTACATTTTGTGATGGGTCCTTAAATTTGGTTTATGTAACAAACCCAATTTCAATAAAGTCCGGTTTGACACGATCAGATTTCTTAGAGGAAAATTCGCATATTGAAGTCATGAGCAATATTTTGGATGCAGTAGAACTACCCTAATGTACAGGACTTATTCATTAAAAAACATGAAACATAAATTTTGGGGTTTCTTATTAACTAGAGTTTCTTATTCATTAGCTAAATAGTCTCTTAACACATAAATTTGGGGTTTTAATGGTACATTTCCGCTAAATGTTTTTTAGGGGTTTTGGCGACATATGCATATCACCAATTGCGAGTATATAGCTATTAAGTATCGATAATATCAATAAGAAACGACAACATGACAACATTTTACTAAAAAAGTGACGCTCTCAGGGCATTTGGGTAACTATTTGCCTCATCCCTTGTTCGTGACAAGTTTTTAATCACTGCAATGTTGAAGGCAAAGTACAACAAATAGATTTCCAAATCAAATGACACCATCTGCCTCAAACGTTTGCTTTGTCCTTGGAGATGTTCTCTAATCTAAGAATCTATGTACTTGTGCGAAATTTTAGTATGAGTAATGCTATATGGTACTCCCAGCAGTTTTACTTGTATAGCATTAACTTGTATGCAGGTTTATCTGCCATATATCTGGATCTGATCTGATTATTTTGGTTTGAAGAGGGAATGGCTGATCCAGCCGGGACGATTCCTCAACAAATATATGTCCCCAGTTCTGCTTACAAATATGATACCATTATTGTCCATTGCTATAATCTCTGCTGAATTGAATCTTGAGTAAAGCCATCTGATATATATGAATAAGATTGAACCAAGATACACACCATGACATTTGTTGCTCGTTTTTTTCTTTGAAAATTTGTGTACATGGCGGACAACTTAATTGGGCTTGGGAGATAATTTGGAAGGACATCTATACTACTTTAAGCACAGTAGTCATGGAATAATCCCATTTATGGATATAAAGCACTGAATATAGTACTGAATATGGATAAGGCACTGAATTATCCATTTATGGAGAAAGCACTGAATATGGATAATTTTATGTATGGATAAAGCACTGAGTCTAGAGTAGATCATCAAACAGTACGGTTCCAAGATTCAGAAACTCTGACCGGAAGTGGTTCCATTTTAGGGCATGTCTTTAATGGATGGGGGGTGCTATTAACATTTTTTTAGTGCTTCTTTGAAGCTCAATATTTGTTTATTTTTTTCATTACAACTAAATGTCTTAATGATTTTGCATTTGTTTAATTTATTGCATTGATAATCTATGAATGATGCATTAAAATATGAACAGTTTGCATCATTGAAAAAATTTATAAAGTGGGTTTCACAAGTTGTCCCTCAAGTAAGATTATTTGAGGGATCTCTCATTGAAGATGACTCATAGAAGGAGCAGCTTCTTATCCGAGATTCCGTTTGATTGTAGCAAAAATATGATAGCTATTTCCATTTTTTGCTTTAGAATACAGTCATATACGGTAATTACATGTGTTTTACAAGGGCCCTATCATCTCGTATTTTGCTACAATAGAACGGGATCCGTACACACTCATATTACACACAAGGGTTGAAGTCACAAAATGAAGCTCTTCCTTATGGCTGGTAAAAATTCAGAGAGGTGAAGGGTGAGGTCTAAGGTCATCTCTAACCAAAGACTGGTCAGATGGCTCGTTTTAACCCTCCGGTCCTTCCAAGAAATTAATATTTTAATGAACAATGCATGGCCATATTTCTTACCATCTCCAACCGAGGACCAAAGGGTCATAAGGCCAAACATATTATTTAAATTTAAAAACTACAACAACTTAAATTAAATGCACATTTACCATGTATAAATGCATATTTACCACCTCTAATAGGAAGCTTATATTTGGGGCACCCATTAAATTTGTTCCACATCGGGAGAGAATTGAGCAAGCAAAAGCTTGCATGTGTGGCACCCATTATATTTGTCCCGCATCGGCTATGGGAGAGGTTTGAGCAATCAAACATGCTTATAAAAGCAACATCCCTACGTAGAACCAATCACCTTTATGGGCCTTAATTAAATAATTTTTTAAAATTTTCTGGACCTTCGGTTGGAGATAACCTAAAAGTCCCAAGGGTCAAAAGCAATGATATTGAAAGACTGTTGTCATACATGTTAAGATGAAGGAAAATGCTGAGTGGGAATATTATGAAGAAAAAGACTCGCACGGTGTTTCTGTACTGTACTTGGTAATATCTAAATATCTCAAACCAAATGCAGATTGAATGATTATATTCGATCTGGCTCTCTGGCAGGACAAACTAATTATACCGGATGAGTCCATTCATTCCTTCCATTGGTCATGCACTTACTTGGAGTTCAACTTGAATCATAATATAACTAGACACAATATATATCTGGATTCTGGGGACCCAATAGCTTCCCCACGACTTGCACAGAGAGAGAGAGAGAGAGGGAGAGAGATGACGAGTTGAGTAGACACCAATATGCATTGGACTTCCCATCATCTCCTCCAACTCCTGCAGATGTTTGAGAAGGTCAATGGTTTAGGGCTATCAGTCTTCATCTTCATGGGCCCTCATAATTATCACATGAAAATTCTTAACCTTAATAGTTTCTCTATTTTGTCTGACATGTTTTGCAACTTGTGTATCAGACAAATTAACATGTAATTATTAGATTTAGGTTGTTGGCCATTACGTACTAATTAACATCAACAGGTGATCAGATAAAGGTTGTTGAAAGAGATTAACATGGGGCATGCGATCAGTTAGTTGGGTCGTTCTGGTGTCTTGAACGGTACGACAGTCTTGAATAGTAAGTAGCATGTAAGATTTGAAGAAAGATTAAGCTTCCATTATAAACCAATTGAAATATAGGGAGTAGCCCAACATTTTATAAGCCCATGCAAGGTCCCTTCTCCCATCAATATGGAACTCATTCTCAACTCGCCCCCTCACATGTGGCGAATTTTTGAGTCTAGCACGTGAACAATACAATTGAGTGACGTGGAGTACATGTGGCTATTTGGCTTCACACGTGGGACAACGTGCTATGATACCATGAAGAAAGTTGAGGTTTCACCATAAACCAATTGGCAATATGGGAAGTAGTCAAACCTCTTATAAGCTCATACAAGGCCATCCTCCTATCAATGTGAGACTCATTCTCAACAAGATTTTGAGTCTCTACCGACTAAAAGAACAGATCGTACGCGAACTTCTGAATTCTGATGGCATATTGCATTGGAAATATTGAGAATCCATATCGGATAACTAAAGCCACGACGATGTCTTTTAGGTTTAATTCATCCTCACAACTTTTGTGCAAAAGGGAGTTGCGAGTTAGAATTTTGGATACAAGAAAGACTACGTTTGTCAAAAAATTTCACTCCGAACACAAACTTCAACACTCCAAGAATAACAAGAACACTTGAGTATAAACTAAGAACAAAAGTTTCAGAATTTTGCTTTCTTGGTGCTTTGGTTTTAATTCAATGACATGTGGAGAGAATATAAGTTTTTTCTATCAGCACTTGTAGATATATGTGATTTTGTTGGAAAGTGGGTCAATCCAAATTTCAGAATTCGTCCTCTACTTCGTCCACTACTTATAGAGGATTAAGTTTTCTGTTTCTAAGATGGTCTGGTTCGACAACCATTCAAAAATTGCTAAAAGATAAAATGTTATGTGGAATATGTCTCTTCCAATATCGAATTCCATCTCTAGCTTTTAGTGCCCGCCCACCAGTATGGACTAGCAAATGTAGTGTGAGTTATCATACACAAATATTATTTCACAACTTAACGTTAATTCTTTTGTCAACATTATATTTCTTGTGCAAAAAAAAGTAACCAAACCAAATATGCAAAAGTAACCACCCATCAAATATAGATTGTTTTTGATCCACTGATTACACAAACACAAACTATGATTTCAGTGCAGAAATACTCAACTAGAACAATAGTGGCATTTTTCTCTTTTTAAAATGGAAAAATAAATGCTAAGGAGACTCTAAATAGTGAGACTCTTCATAGGCTTTTTGTCACTTCATATTTTTAGCATAATGTTTTGTAATATTGGCATAGAATTAACAATAAACTGCGAGGTAGGTAGAAAGTCTACGAAAAGTACCACTTTGAGAAAATCACCTTAGCATTTCTCTTGTGATGTTAGGGCAAGTATTGGTTGTCTGGGTTGACATCTGAGCAAAACTGCAATGGTGGTTTTAATCATGTCATGTAGTATTGTAAGTGGCATGGGATTCCTGACCCATTATCCAGGTGATGGTGATGATCAGTAAAATTCATGTAACTGAGGTTGAGGTTGCTGAAAAATTCAAATCTGATGATGGACGACTGAAATTTATTGTCTTGCCATGCTTCTCGAGTGTGACACATGCTTTTTGGGGTCATTGGCCGTAAACAAGGACTCTGTTTTCTTCTGAGTAATTTATGAGCCATTTGTTGCTTGTCCAAGAATACAAGAATTTTGTTTCGAAAAATTGATAAAATTAAATATGACCTACGTACCTGATGACAAAGAATTATTGTTTTGCCCTACCCTTGACATGTTGTGCAGACCTAAATTTGTAAGTTGGGGGAAAACATCGATAATAAAAACCCCTTTCTTCCTTGCCATTGCCCCCAGTCGGTCTGTCTTTCTAAAATCTTGACAATACTATGTTTCTTTCACTCATACCTTCAGTACTTGATGAAACTATATTGTGAGTATTTCTACGTAATTGCAAATCAACCAACCAAATGATACGTTGCTTGCCAGTAAAGTAAGATCAGGATCGCCAGAACTTCTAGTAAGTCATCATGCAATCCCTAGTGTAAATACTATAAATGGATCGAGACATGAAACTCGCAATACATTATTTGAAAACACTTGTCATTCTGATCAAATCAAGCAATTAAGTGAATTGCATTCAGCAAAAACTTTGTCAACTTGTCATTACTATTCAAATTCTAGAAGTAGAGTGACTTAAGACATCCAAAACAAGAGCTTAATTAGCTAGCTACATGGGATTAATCAGAAAATTAAACAAGAAAATTAGGAGAGTATGGGTTCTCTCTCTCTTTCTTCTCTCTCTAGTACTAAAACAAAAAACAAAAGCACTTGGGTTTGCTGTCACCCATCTATTCAAAGTCTAGTCGCACCCACTCAACTGACTTCCCCACCCACCGTGCACCCACCCATTTTCCATCACCACCACCATATCTGATAGACTGGTACCCTCCTTCCCCTTCCATTATTATTTTATCAAAAATCTTCAGGCAGAATCTCAACAGTGATGCCAAATACCAAACATATCAGATTCCTCCAAGCAAATTTCCCATTTTCCATGGAAGGAGAAACAAGGATGACGTCACCTCCCCTGCTACTTTTCCTAAATATACCCCACCAGCTACTCTCTCTCCCCCCTTACCTGCAGCACCTTCCTTCTGGTTCCCCCTCACCCCTTCTTCCTGCATTGCCCCGGACATGACCTGAAAATCTGGGATTTTTTCGAATATTGTATTCGAAAAATGGGGGATTTTTTCCCAAGTGGGGACTGGATATTAAAATGGGGGATTTTTTCCCAAGTGAGCTGTGGGAGGTTAAAAATAAAAATTATATATATATTTGGAAGTCAATCAATTCAAAAGCGGACGTCACATCGGAAGATCTCTATCCTCGGCGATTTCTCGTTGGTTTGACATCTCGGGAGAAAGTAGTGAATTCCTGTTCCACAACACACAAATATCAATCAATTGCATTTGTGAAAATCGGTGCTCCCTCATCTTTATGATGGAGCGAAAGCAAAATTGAGTTAAATCACATAATATAAATCAATAATAAGAAGCTCGTTAGTTATCAAAGTTAAATATCGAATTCATTTATAAATACCGTTGAACTGTAGTGCTAACGATAAACTCATTACTTTCTATAACTTCATTTTTCATTTGTTTTTGGGTTCTGAAAACCACCGATATCCCATGCATTGACGCTAGTTTTTCTGGTCCTACAAGAAGCCTACTGCTGCCTGCTATAGCTTCAACGTCAAAACCATCAAATATTTGAGCGGCTTAAAATTAAATATTGCCAGTCAAGATCGGTGCATTCTCTGATCTGAAATGTTTGGTACAAGTTTATAATATCTCACACTATTAATTTCGACTACAAATTATGTAACATGGCAACAGTAGGAGTATTTGACAAAAATAATTGAATGCTCAACCCTAAGGAAATTGATCATACGAAAAAAAAACGAAAAACCTAAACCCTAAAGAAATAAGAGAAACTTTAGTAGAACCGTCTTATTAGAGTAAATTTACACAGAGTCTAGACCACTTACAGAGTAAAGACCAACATGAAGTTAAATAATAACAAAATATAAGAGTAGCTATGTTCTGTGAAAGAGGCATGGATAACGTGGTTGGAGTGCTATTTTTCGGTTTTTTCTCTAGGGAAATATATCCCTCAAAAAAAAAAAAAAAAAAGGAAAAAAAAAAAACCACTAGAAGTATGAGAGAAGCTTCGGTATTGGTTATTCTACTAAGGTAGCTATCACACCGAATAGGACCAACCTGAAATTAAGTCAATTGTGACAAAAGTGCAGAAGTATGGACAACGCAAAAGTAACGTACGGGATCCAAGTGTTCCTACCAATGTTTTTCTCATGGGAAATTTGTAAAATTAAAGATCGTATATCAGCTAGCAAATGGTCCACAGGAGACCGCTTTCACAAAGAGTCGGTGCCTAAAAATATCCCACACAGGGCATAACAGCTATTTTGTGTATGTGGCTAACTTAGAGGAAAAATGGAAAACCATGAATGCTATGAACACACCAGTCCAGTCCACAAAAGCTGCCCTCATGCTTTGCAACCGTGTCGAATTTTTATTCTTTTAGTTTTTAAGTTACGATGGTCTCAAATTGGTACTTTAGTCTTTGAGATTGAAAATTGATAAAAATGATTCTTGAGTTTGCACACTTGTCAATTATTTTGGTCTTTCTGTCAAAATCTGCGTTAAATGGAAAAGCAAGTGGAGGTGTTGATTGGATGAATACTATCAATTTAACAGAGGTTTTTCACTGAAGACCAAAATAATTGACAGGGTCTCTAGAACCACTTCTATCAATTTTCAATCTCAAGAACCAAAATGAACAGTTATACTAACCTTAAGTACTATTTTAGCTAAAAAGCTTTTTTCATATATATATATATATATATATATATATAAAGAAAAAAAAAGGCAAATAAACTCAAAAGTCAAAACTGACCTTAATTGGGCAAAAGTTGGGTCGGGTCCAACCTTTGTTTTGGTTCAATTGTAGGCTTAAAAGTTGTCACTTTTGGCAAAAATAATAGTCTAAACATGGTTTAACTTCTCATCCACATTGATATTAATTGTCACATATATGCGTTAATAATTTTGAATCGTTGATTGATAGTGAATGCATTATGTTATGTGAATGACTTACTAATCATACCAATTAAATTAATCGTTTCATTGGGGAGAAAGGAGATAACATGTTTTACTAATTTTTTTTCTAGACTCAACACAGATACTATTATTTGCTCTTAAAATAATCTGTCTCATGAGAGGAAACAAAATGAGCTTTTTAAAAAGAACATGCCACCGCAAAATATGCTCTTACAATACACTACCCGTATAATTATATAAAAAGATCATTAGGACAATGATAGTTTAGGGGGTTTACGTACCCTGTGTTGGTCAGCATAATTATAAGCAGCAGGAGCGTACAATTGTTGCTGGCCGTGAGTCGGACCCTGGCTCGACATCGACAAACTCGATGATGAGCCATCTGGGGTCGATGGTTCCGACTCGTGGTGCTCAACTGCCTGCTGCTGGCACTCCAAGTTCACCCCAAATAGCCTCAGTACCTTCGAGTTCCCAACCGATGTCGTTTGGTTCATATTCTGAACATCAGACCCTGCAACAATAACAGTTATTAAACACATGCATGAAATTAAACACATACCCCCAATTTCTTACCGTAATTTTACAAAGGACCAGTGTACTTGGTTATTTATTTGGGTCACATGTCTTTAACAAAAGAACAATGCTAAACATGAGCATTTTGTACCGTCTCAACTGAACATCTAATTTAGTATATCGATTCATACAACTTACTTGGAAATATAATCTAAACCCGAGAGCACATTCTTCCCAAGTAATAGGAAGGTGATTTTCACGCACTTTCACGTGCGTGTAAACAAGAATTAAAAACGTTTATATTTATGTTTTTACGAAATTAAAAGAGTGGGAAGCAGTAAGAGATAGGGTTTTTTATTTTTTTGGTAAAAAAAAAATACAATTAAGAGGATATACATCACCTGCTGCATGTAGACAGTCAGGTGGGTATGGCGCCACACTATGACGATGCTGGTGCGCAGGATAAGACAAGCCGTGATGCGGTGCAGAATACAACATCCTGGTCCAACCTCCGCCACCACCACTGCTGCTCTCAACCCCTACTCTGCTAACCTGAGCACCGCTATCGTGCGCCGGGACCGCGTTGCGGCGTCTCCAGCCGATGAAGAGTCGATCCGTGTGGGCCCGGAGCCTCTCGAACAAAACGACGTCGCCTGCGTCGAGGCGCTTCTCCTTGACGTACCGGCTCCAGCCCTTGGTGAGGACGTAGCTTTGGCTGCTGTTCCAGTAGGAGTAGCGGAACCGCCACGACTTCCCGGACTCGTCCTCGAAACTGAGCAGGAGGCCCGAGTCTCCGCCGCCGAGCGGGAAGTACCTCTCCGCGTGCTGCTTGGGAATCACGAGGCGGTTGAGCTTGCCGACGTCGCTGGGGGTCAAGGGCTTCTCGAACATGGGTTCTTTCTCGTCGTAGGAGTCGATGCGGGGATGAGGCGGCGGGGGCTGGAGTTGGTCTGATTCGTTGGGATCGATGGCGTCGTGGTGGTTGAGGTTGAAATTGAAGGTGGTGGTAGGGGTGTGGAAATGGGTGGGGGACATGGGAGTGGGGGGGTCTTGGGAGTTGAGCTGCAAGGGTTGGAAACTGTGATGGGGGTGGCTGCCACCATCTTGATAAAATTGGTGGATGATATGGGTTCTGCTGTGGGGGTGTCCTGAGGAGTCATCTTGTTGGTGGGGGTTAGAATTAGCACTGGAGGTGTTCCACCACTGGGTTTCTGAGAGGTCCGATGAGAAGTGGTTTATGGACATTTCCAGAGAGAGAGAGAGAGAGAGAGAGAGAGAGAGAGAGATGGAGAAAATTGAGAAATGGGGTTCTGGTTTTGGGGACGAATAATGGGATGGGGAAGGCAAGCTAGCTAAGTAGAGATGTAGAGCGATAGGGGTAAAGGGGTACGTGTGTGTGTGTGTGTGTGTGTGTGGGTGGGTGGTGGTGAGACGGAAGGGGGAGGGAATAGGCGTGCAGATTATGGGGCTGATGAGAACTATTTGACGGAAGGTAGCTACCCCAAAGATATTGACAAGAATGTTAGAGAGAGAGAGAGAGAGAGAGAGAGAGAGAGAGAGAGTGGGAAAATGTAAGTACGAGAGTACTACTTTAAGGTTTTGCGTGAGGGAAAAACTCAATCATTATTTTCAGTGTAAATTCCCATATTCTACTACTACTTTCTTTGTGTTTTTTGTTGGGATTTTGGGTGAAAAGAATTTTTAATTGAATATTGCTTTTGTTGTGAAAAAGATGTAAGAGATATGCAAGTCCCTTATTCAAACCGACAAAATTTGATGATTAGTAATACACTTATTATTTAATTGTATTTTTACTTGTATCATCTATTTAATATAGGTAGAACTTGCCAACGCATGTGATTTTTATTTTTATTAAAAAAATGGTCCAAATAAATAGGAAGAATAACATTTTTGAAATTTGATATACTCACTTAACGTACAATAATGAAGCCTAACTATATATTATTCAAACACATGAAACTAACCATACTCTCGTTAATATAGATGGTTTCATGTATAAAATGAGGCATATAACTATTACAGCATAACAATCACGTAATTAGTTTTGTGTGTTTAAATAGTGTATAAAGATAAATTAATAAAAGGAGACTGGTGTTTTCTGAATTGGGCACAGCATGTATGTGGATGAATCTCTTGACCAAGAAAGAGAGAGGGTCTTGTGGTTAAACTATTTGTTTGGAAACACCCCATGTTATTGCTACATTGCCAAGCAAATCAAATTGTAACACCTCCGACGTAATAATTAGCCACCTGGTTCTTCATCAATTCCATGCAACGGCCAAGCCGGCCTAGCCTAGCACTTGGTTTTCTAGACCATATCTATGGGGCACTTGAGATTAGTTTTTTTCCTTTTTTTGGGTTTGAGATATTTTTCCCCCTTCCATATGTTTCAAGCTCGTTTATTAATACGTAATTAAAATGAGAAGAATTAAATTGGAGAGGAATTAGAAGAAGATGAGTTAGAATTGATTCATGTTGAAGTTGTTTATTAAAACCTTATGGAAACGATTAAAATTAGTATAGATTCTATATAAGCTGCTCACCTGAATTTTTGGTTAAATTTTATATGCTATTTAATAGAGCAAAATAATGTTAAGCACACTGGAATTTAATTATTTTATTTGATTTTAATTATTGTTATTAATATTGTTAAATGTCATATTAAAATGGGTACCAGTTGGTGGTATTGGGTTAATGCAAAGGGCAATTTTGGAATTTTAGAAATAAGTGAGGGTATAACGAGGAGGAAAAATTCATTCTGATTCACCAAAAACCCATAATTAAATTCCCACCTAAACGTAGGGAATTCAATTCCTCCAAAATTTACATGGGGCACACCAACCTTTTGAATTCCCCAATATTTAATATACATTGGAGTATCCTGTAATCAAATTTCAACTCCCGACTGATTATCTTTACATAAACGTGCCATAACTAAAAGAATTCACTCGTAAACCTATGAACCCAATTGAACAAAACAAGTTAGTTTGTCTTTTCTCTCTCCAAATTACTTATACAAGAAGTTTGATTTACAATACTTACTGCAATTCTCAGTCGTTCCTGTATGCATAACGCACTGAGTATTATTTGTAATGACAATCGTCATTACAATTGGGTTGGATATTGGACAACACCAATGCTATATAATGGTAGTATTGCAAAATTTTCTAGTGCTAGCTCGTGAATTGATGTTTGGATAAAACATGGACGGAGCTAATGAAGGCTTATTGGGGGTAGATACCTCCACTCAAGTAATTCGTTTGTTAAGTTGCAACCTAGAGTTATATAATATACACATGTTATCTTAAAAGAAAATGTATGTATCTAATATCCAACATACTTTTATACTACTTATACTCCATATCAAATATTCTATGAGCAAAACTGCTCTGACTCTGTCATTCAAACTGAAAAACTCCTCTCCCGCCTATCATGTAATAATATTTTTCTCATCACTTTTCCACTTTCCACTACTGCACTGAAATTTTTGTAATATTGAATTGTGATACATCATCATTTGAAAGCATCCCTATTATCATATTGAGTATATGTCATACTATGATAAAGTTTTCTTGGTTGATTGGGATGCCCCCACTAAAAGAAATTTGTCTCTCCATCCCGGGATACAACATATATGAGAGATATATTTGTTTTCAAGTGCATAATGAACTATTCCGGTTTCGAAGGTTTATTTAACCCGTAGCAGTCCTGAATAGATGTTAGCCGTTGATGTATGTGTAATTCACATTTATCAGCTATTGACAATTAATCATCCGTAAATTAAACAAGTGACAACCGAGATTAGAATCAGTAGGCATTGAGCAAGAAGGATGTTTCAATGGGGAAAAGGCAATGTAGCTGCACAGAAGAATAGTAATATCACGTGCAGGACAGCATTATTGGTGTTAGGCCATTCCGGCCTGGATTTAAACGGGGATTGGAGGAGGTGGAATACATAAATCCACAGATCCCTTCCCTTTCCAATAAGCATGCAGGAGAGAGATAGAGAGGGGTGGATGGGATGGGATAAGATTTGTCCAATTGGGAGAATAATACAATAAAATACAAACACAAATACAAATAGGCTTTGTTTTTGGGACATTGTATAGTCGTGTTTTAATCGTTTCCTCACACTGCTAGTCCCATCTCTTTCTCTCTCTAACAAAACACTAACTGGGGTCTCAGTCTTCTGTCTCTCTGGGTGTCTTATTATTTTATTTTATTTAATATTTTATTTTCTTATATATTATCTTTAATTTCTCGTTGGGATTTTATGTCTTTTTCCTCCCCATGAGTTTCAGACAAATCCCACCTCAATTTCCAGGTAGATTCACAAACACCCAATTTCATATCATATCCCCCAACTAAAAGGTCGGATTGGTTGGATTGGATTATTGTTACCACTTGGTTTTAATTTGATAGTTTTAAGTAGTGAGTAGAACATGTGGGAAACACATTATCATAGGTTTTTGTAGTTGGCTTTGTGTGTGCTCGTGTCCTTTACCTTACTACTATTCTATCATGATATGTACCATGCCATGCGTCTCTCAATCATATATTGATGGGACAAGTCATGGATTTTAATAATTCATGGTAAAACTTAAATGAAAATTATTGTACATTACTGAAACTCATCAGATATAATTAAAGTGGTGGATCTGTGACATTACTTTTTTCACGCAATTTTTGACACACATTCAACGATCCGAACTGTCTATGTTTTAGGTCTTCTCTCAAAGATCATGTCTGCCAAAGTCATCTAATTTGAAACTATATGACCCTTGGATTAAGGGTATAGGGTTTCTTTGTAGAATTGGCACCATGTTTTTACTACAAATGAATGTCTTAGTGGTTTTGAATTTGTCTAATTTTTTGCAAATAATAATCTATAAACGGTGTTCTAAAAGATAAACTATTTGAATTGTTAAAGTATATTATGGAGTGGGCCCCACAACATCGTAAAATTATGTAAGAAAAGGTTGTGACATGGATCCGCCCCCATAATTAATAGTGTTTGTTTGATCAACTTTGATACAAATCGAGACTTTATTGCAACTAGTGATTTAAGTTAACAAATTAGTCATGGGATTTTAATAATTCATGGTTAAAGGTAATGAAAAATTATCATATGTTACTAAAACATCGGACCTGTAATTAACTAGTGTTCGTGTGATCAAATTTTTTTTTTCATGTCATTAGAGGATTATGCATCTAAATGATGAGATAAATTGAAAATTTAATTATTGATATTGCGCATAGTTAATTAAGTTGGAAAATTAGTTGTTTTATAACATTGATTGAGAGTTCATATTTGTGCAAAGAGTAAAAAACATGAGGACTTCAAAAATGGAGTCCGCACAAAAATGATCAAGAAAGAGTTACGGATTTCATGACAAGTTCAAGTCATCGCATGATTTGAGAACTGGTTCGAGTAATGTGCGTCCTAGATTGAAGTTAGAAAGGCTGATCATATTTCATATCCAAGGAAGAGTCTCATAAGATCAATCAGTTGTCTGCGCAGTACAATTGATTGCTTACGCAGTAACGGTCAAACGATGGAAGGCCAAGAACCGCTTAACAATGGAAAGCTCAAAACTTTGAATGTAAGAAAAAAGATAATGCTAGAGAGTCTAAATTTTTAATTTGAATTTGCAAATAAATGGTATGGTTGTTTATGACTGGGTTATTACCTAAGCATTAATTAACGTGTTTATTTCTTATCGATGACACATCATTTGGTTTGTAAATTTAGTTTAAAATTTTGATCTCCTTAGTATTATCTGAAGAAAAAAAAAAAGAATATTCAAAATAAACATAATTAAACCCCCCCCCCAACAATGGTAGAGGATCCAAGACTCCGAATTTCCAAAATTAGGTAAGGTCATCTGCAACCAAAGGCTGGCCAGAGTGCTTGTTTTAACCCTCTGGCGCTTTAAGAAATTAATATTTTAAATAACAGTGCATGGCCATATTTCTTACTATCTCCAACCGAGGGTCAAAGGGTCATAGGACTCGTTTTAGCCATGTCACAAAAAACCATCTCCAACTGAAGGCCAAAAGGATAAACATAATTTATTATTTAAAAACTACAACATAAATTCAAATCCAATGGCTAAGTGACGTAAGCATGATGTCAGTTAGCCGTTGGATTTGATTTTTTTTTGGGCTATAAATAGGGTGGATATTGGGTTATAATTCTCACACCTTTGAATTCAATCTATTTCAATTCAAGTGTGCAAGGAATTCCAACTTTGGATCCTCTTCGAATTCCAACTGGGGGTCCTCATCCAATTCCAAATTAGAAGAAAAATGGGCGTAGATGAGACGAGAAGATGAGGAGTCTGATGAAGAAGATGAAGCATGGCGTAACACACAATATGTGGTAGTCATGGTTGCGGCCATGGTGTCTCAGCCAACTAAGGAACAACCTCAATGGGGTGACTTTGTTGCTGGTCGCTCTTACAAACCACGAAACAAAGCGATGACGTATGCCAATCTAATGAACAACTACTTAAACCCCAACTCGGTGTACACATAAGAGGATTTCAGACATCACTTTCGGATGAGGCTTCCTGTCTTCAAGCGTTTACTTCGTGATATCCAGCAAGTTAATTCATACTTTCGACAGAAGCGAGATAGAGTAGGCCGCCCTGGTTTCTCACCTCATCATAAGGTTACTGTTGCACTCCGAATGATGGCTTATGGCTCCCCAGCTGATTCAATGGATGAAACTCATGGTATGTCTGAGTCTACATGCCTTGATACTCTTGCTGAATTCTGTGACACAATTGTTCAACTTTACAAAGACAAGTACCTCCGTGAGCTAAATCAAGAAGATATGGATCGGCTCATTCACAAAGCTGAAGATTGTGGGTTTCTGGGCATGATAGGGTGATAGGTTTGTTAGACTGCATGCATTGGGATTGGAAAAAATGTCCCACCGGATGGCAATAAGGATTTAGCGGAAGGTTGAGAAAGCCAATTGTTGTGTTAGAGGCAGTTGCCTCGTATGACACATGGATCTAGCATGCTTTCTTTGGAGTCCCTGGATCCCAAAATGACATTACAGTTCTTGGGCATTCACCCTTCTTCAATAGCCTGACGGAAGGTAAAGCACCTCAACTTGACTACTACATCAACGGTCGTCAGTACAAAATGAGGTCTTACTTGGCAGATGACATCTACCCAAAGTGGGCGACACTTGTCCAAGCAATTCCAAACTATGCGAATGACGCTAAAAAGTTGTTTACCTTACACCAAGAGGCATACCGGAAAGATGTTGAGAAAGCTTTCAGTATTCTACAAGCACGATGGAAGATCATCAGCTAACCGGCAAGAGGGTAGGGTCGAGAAAATTTGGACTCCATCATGATGTCTTGCATCATATTACATAACATGATTGTTGATGATGAGAGAGATAGGTATATTGATAGAGAGTCTGATGACGACCAAGACAATCCAAATAGCTTAAGAAGGGCTCGTGCAAAAATATATGATGGGCTAATTTGCCTTTCAATCTAAGAACTGGTAGTATCTCTTTAAATGAGTACATGAGGCGTTATAGAATGATACATTCTCATGCCACAAACAAGTACCTACAACAGGATCTTGTTGCACATCTTTGGACCAAAAGAAGCATAGAGTAGGTGTTTAAGTTTTATGTTGTTAAATATTTTTAAAAATGTTGTTTAAGTTTCATGTTGTTAAATGTTTTATTTTTATGTTGTTTAATGTTATTTAATGTTGTTTAATATTGTTTAATGTTGTTTCATGTTACTTAATGTTATGTAATGTTTAATGGTTTAGGAAGTTATAGGGAGGGAAAAAAAAAGAATTTTTAAAATTTTTAAAACAAATTTTGTTAAAAAAATGTCTAGCTGATGTCAGCTAGTTATTGTTGGTTTTCAAATTCTGGCCCAACCCCAGGCCGTTTGGTTGGCTCCTTTGGGCTGACCCTTTGGCTCGTTTTTTTCCATGGGGCCCACGAGCCCTTTGGCCTGACCCTCGGTTAAAGACGATTTTTGGGATATTTCGGGATAATTTCGGCCATCTGACCCTTTGGACCCTTCGGTTGGAGATGGCCTAAGTGTTGCGTTCTAGAAAACAAGAAAAGAAAGTCGCATACAAGAACACACTAAAATCGATGATGTACTGTTAACAAATGCTTAGACTTTGGTGCAAATCTTATTGTAAATAAATTAAAGGGTAAATCTCAGTTTACTACTCTCAAGTTTTGTGGTTTTTAACATTTGGTACATGAAGTTTTTTTCATCCCAGAGTCATACCTAAAGTGTTAATTTTGGGACAGTCTCATACATCCATTAGTTTGACTATTAAGTCTCTCGTTAACTGATGACGTGACATCCATATGGACAACAACTGGACGCCACGTGTCATTAAGGGGTCCACGTGGAAATTAAAATTTCAAAAAATAATTATTTAAAGAAAAGCAAAAAAATATAAAATTAAAAAAATTAAAAAAAAAAAAATCCAAATCCCCTTCGTCTTCCCAGGAATCCCACCCATGCCCACCCTCCCACCCTCCAATCACCTACCCCTTCTCCCACCCCCCCAACACTCTACTTCAAGCTCTCGACCAGAACCTTCACCGGCAGCCCCTCACCTTTCGTCTTGGTGACAATCCTATGGATATTTTGGATACATCCCTAGTAGTGAAGGTTCAGCTTCAAAACCGTCGTCATCATCGGAGGCTGCACACGCCCATATACAAACCCATTTAATTAAAAATTAAATAATTGAAAATATTGAGGCAGGCACACATTAGTGAAAAAGGGACCAGTGCACCAATGTGTTGTAAAAAGTATGGACCTCTTTGGTTTTTTTGTTGTCGTTGGATTTCTCCGACGACTTTTTCTTGGCGTCGTCGCTGTCGTCTTTATTGTCCTTTTTGAGCTGGGGGGAGATGAGGTCGACCTTCTTCTTGGTCTTGGCGGCGAGCTTGTCCCAGAGGGTGGTGGGGTCCACTTTCCCAACCACCATCAGATTGTTCGCCTGGCTTTTCTGACTTCACTATCTCCACCTCTATAACCAAACGACGCCGTCGCAAAAAATCAAAAAATTGTTTGAATCTAAATTTTGGATGAACCTTAAAGTAGGTCATTTGAATTTGTTTTGAAAAAAATAAAATCTGGGGTTTGACAAATGAGTCTGACATTTGTGGGTAGGCCTGGCAAACGGGTCGTGTCTATCATGTTCGTGCCGTTTTCGTGTAACACGTGTTATCTTAACGGGTTGTGTCGTGTCACACTCATTATCTTAAGGGATCCTTAACAGGTAAAGTGACCCGACCCATTATGACCTGTTAAGAAAAAAAAAAAATTTTCTTAAATTTGCACATACCACACATTGCCACATAAATATTACTTCAAAACATTAAAACACATTTGTCGATTAAGTACTACATCTACACTCGAAAATAAGATTAGTAAAAAAACATCCATACACCACTAGTCTATTACAAAATATTAAATGTGCAAGGATATGCAAAATGAAAGAGTTTTTGTTTTCAAGGTTGTGAAGCCTTTCTCAAAAGTTTAAATCTTGCCAATGAAACTCAAAGCTTGCATGTTATTCCTTTTACAAAATCCTCAATTTTCATCGATCATCACGAGGAAATTTTATTGGAACTTTGGCTTGATCTATTGCATTCAAGAGTTATGTTGATGATTTTTTCAGTAAGGTTTTCCATGTCAGAACTCTCTTCCACATAAACTAAGTATAGAAAAACCAAATATTAAAAATCATTCAAATTATGAGAAGTTTACCAAAATAATTATGAAAATAAATAAAACAATAGTTTTTGAAGAAAATACAAAATTCATACCTTTAGCATGTGCTTGCCTGTGTGTGGTTTTCTTGTGGCTGCTGGGGTCGAGTTAAGTGAACGGAGGAGGAAGTGAGAAAGATGTGGATTAAAGAGATGGCGCGAGAGTAAGTCTAGAATGGAGATCAGAGTGAATGAGAGTTAAAAGAAAGATAGCCTCCAACCTAATGCACAATGGACGGCTGAGATTAAATTTCAGTCGATCCAATGGTCACCAATTTTTCAAATTTAATTTAATATGTATATATAATTATTATAGTTTTTAGGGGTATAAAATTGTTAAATTAATATATATATAATTATTATAGTATTTTTTTAGGGTTATAAAATTATAAAATTAATATTTTGCTTCTCGTGTATTGTGTTACCCACGTGTATACCTGAACCAACCTGTTATCTTAACAGATGCTTATCGGGTTACCTAATAACAATCCGATTCGTTATCATATCAACTTGAACACCTGTTAATTTAGTGTCGTGTCGTGTCGGGTTATCGGGTCGTGTCAGGAATTGCCAGGCCTATCTGTGGGAAATAAAAAGTAAAACCCATATGCAAAAAGAAGTAAATGAATCTTTTTGGGTAAAAACCCAGATGCAGAAAGCAGTAAATGAACATTGCTATGAAAATTTTGAGGAAAATCGTGTTGAAAATGAAGGGAAATTTAGAACTCGTGAAGAAAATGAACCCCAGACGAACCCCAAATGTCGATTCGAGAAGCTCTGACACAGAGCTACTTTGCCAATGAGTTTTGCCGGTGTACTGGGGGAAAAGCTCGGCGAGGAGGTTCTCATCAGAGATGGAGACGCAGTGGGGAAGGAAATGGTTGCGGGTGATGGGGGAAGGGGTAGGAGAGTGGGCACATGTAAGGATTCTGAGGAAAACGAAGGGGATTTGTTTTTTTGTTTTTTTTTTAATTTTTATAACTTTTCTTTCAATAATTATTTTTTTGAATTTTTAATTTCCACTTGGATCCCTTAATGACACGTGGCGCTCATTCATTGTCCACATGAGCGTCACGTCATCATTTAACGGAAAACTTAACAGTCAAACTAATGGATGTATGAGATTGTCCCAAAATCAACACTTTATGTATGACTCTGGAATGAAAAAAAAACTTTATGTACCAAATGTTGAAAGCCACGAAACTTGAGAGTAGTAAATTGAGATTTACCCTAAATTAAAAAAAAAAAAGCAAAGAAGAAAAAATGGTCAAGTGAGAAAGGCGCTTACATAACGGAACTACCCTTAAATGACGGTGATGTTTATCACTTTACTTATTGTCGTTAAATGATGTAAATTGAATGTAAATTTTGACATCTGTATAATAAATAAACACAAATTTCAAATTTAAACTAAAGCATACAGATGTCGAAATTTTGACTATCTTGCAAGTATACACCTGTTACGTAAAGGTAGAAACTTACCTGAAATCTTTTTAATAAGTATCTCTCAAAGATTATGTTTGGCCAGGTGCTGGAATCCTTGACCATAAAGACACCTATACAGTGGGCGAGGTTCTGCCATGTAATGCATAATTCGTCTGCAGACATATTTAATATTTCTGAAAATTAATATTCTGGAAAATCATTTATTAATATCCATATTTTAATAATAAAAAATAGTTTATCTTGTTCAAAGAGACCAGGTAACAAACAAGAGGGGCCTTCGATATATATGGAGAAACCCTTAATATTTTTTCATTTCTGGGAATTTTTCAATTCCCAAGTAAAAAGACGTACACCACCTGGTTCTTGTAAAAGCAATCCGTGAGACTTTGAGCCTTCTTCCTCGTTCGCCACCCCAACTAAAGTCCAGGCCACTCTTTTTCGCATTGATTTCTGCCCAGTTTCAGAGATAAAAGGCTGTTTTTGGATCACTACTAATTATATCGATTTCTTCTTAATTTACATAATATCTACAGTACATATACGATAAGTGTGAAATTATAAAGCATTGTATCTTCTCCTATTGGACCAATAACTACATTCACATCCATAGTAATTGTAAATTAGATATGATTTCTACGATTCAAATTTGTATTTCCTACTAT